TGCTTTTTGCTTAAAACAGTCTCTGAGGGACTCAGCTGCCAGACCCTAGACTATATCTCTAATAGTGGTATCTTGGACTCGTCGGCAAGCACAAATAGGAGAAGGTGTTTCGAAATAAATAAGGAGGGACACCTGGGTGGCTCAGTGGTTGAGCAGCTGCCTTTGGCTCAGGACTTGATCCCACAGTACCGGAGGGAGCCTGCCTCTCTCGGTGTCTCTCATGTCTTTCATTTTTTAAAAAACGAAATAAATAAGGAAATGAGCCTAGATCAACAATAAGTTCATTAACTTAAAAACTGAGTTCATTTGACATAGCTTTTTGACAGTTTCAAAATCTACTGAATTGTCTTTCAGTAGGAAATTTTATTTCATTTTTGGGAAGAGGTTTTTTTTTTTGATATATATTTATTTTTTTTTATTTATTCATATAGACACACACAGAGAGAGGCAGAGACACAGGCAGAGGGAGAAGCAGGCTCCATGCATGGAGCCTGACGTGGGACTCAATCCTAGTTCTGCAGGATCATGCCCTGGGCTGAAGGCAGCGCTAAACCACTGAGCCACCGGGGCTGCCCAAGAGTTACTTATTTTAGAGCTTGTGTACAAATGGGAGAAGGGGCAGAGGGAGAGAATCTCAAACAGACTCCTTGCTGAGTGAGGCGCCCAGTGGACACAGGTCTCAATCCCGGGGCCCTGGGATCATGACCTGAGCTGAAATCAAGAGGTGGCTGTTAAATGGACTAAGCCACCCAGCCACCCCCAAGAGGAAATTTCCTATGGCTTTCTGTATGGTTTTTTGTTTTCCTACTTTTATAACCATTTCCATGGTCTCAGGTCCATCAAGTTTTACATGCTGAAATTCATGGCTTTTGTTCATTGCAGAAACGTGAAGAGGGCTGGTGGGTAGTGATTGGCGATGCCAAGTCCAATAGCCTCATATCGATCAAGAGGCTGACCCTGCAGCAGAAGGCCAAGGTGAGTGAGTGCAGGCCCTAGCATTTCTTCTGATACTGGGTCAGGGTGAGAATTCTCCCCATGTGTCCATGCTCACCCTGATTTCTGCCTGCTTTCTCTAGGTGAAGCTTGACTTTGTAGCCCCAGCCACTGGTGCCCACAACTACACTCTGTATTTCATGAGTGATGCTTACATGGGCTGTGACCAGGAATACAAATTCAGCGTGGATGTGAAGGAAGCAGAGACAGACAGTGACTCAGACTGAGTCCAGAGCACATACTCTTACAAAGAGGAGAGTCGCCTCTGAATTAGGAGCATGTACTGTTTTGTGGAGACCAGGTCCTTTGGCATGAGGTCCAGCCAGTCAGTGCAGTGCTGTCCCAGCCCCTCCTGCTCCTCTGCCCTCTTACTACCTTGCCATCCAGATGTTGGATCCTTTGCTCGCTGGTCCCCTGTAGCTGTCAATCATCGACTATGTACAGCATTTTTAGGCTTGTTCTATGTAGTTCCTTTTGTTAGATCTTCTAATAAAATAACCTGGAAAAACCATTCGTCTTTGTAATGTTCCCAAATTAAAGTTTCTTTCCTCTACCTAAGGCCCTTGACTAAAAACATTTGTTTTTTTTTAGCCATTGAACTTGATTATCATGAATACTTCTAGAGGTTGGGCTGCTCTTTGGTTGGGCTCTCACCTGCAGCCTTTCCAGTCAGCGTGTAGGAAGGAGCAAGGTTAGACAGCTGTCAGATGCTTGCCCTTTTCTCCCACCCCTGCTGTTACCCAGATCTCAGCACTGCTGTAGGAACTAACACTGAACTTGAGTCTCCCAAGATCTGCAGTGTCCCCTCCAGTAAGGGGATTAAAATGCACCAGCTGGGTATGGCTCAGTCTTAGTAAACCAATTCTCTGATCTAGACCTACAAAATTTCCTCTTCAGATTCTTGCCTTCTGTTGTTTAGGAATAACTGTGCATAAAACTGGAAGATAATTTTCAAGCATGGTTTCTGTAGGTCAGCAGTTTTCCAGTACTAGGATCTTAGGACCCCTTCTATGCCACAAAAAACTAACCGCAGAGATATTTTATCATCTTGGTTATGTCTTTTTTTTTTAAAGATTTTACTTATTTATTCATGAGAGACACAGAGAGGCAGAGACACAGACAGAAGGAAAAGCAGGCTCCACACAGGGAGCCCTATGTGGGACTTGTTCCCGTGTCTCCAGGATTAGGCCCTGGGCTGAAGGTGGCACTAAACTGCTGAGCCACCCGGGGTTCCCCATCTTGGTTATGTCTATTGATGTTTACTCTATTAAGGATTAAAATTAAAACAAAAGAATGCACTTAAAAATAACATGAAAAATACCTTCTAAAACAAATCCAGGGGGAAAACTGACTGCATTTTACAAATCTCATTAGACCATGTCTGCTCTAATGGAAGTTTGAAATTATCTATTTATCAATTTCTGCCAAAGGAGTCCATTTACTTCTAATTGGCTCAGTTTATTTCCTTCTGTACAGATTTTGAAATTTTTAATTTTTTTCCATTGATTACCATAATATTTCTCATCTCATATCCTGTTTATGTAGTGATTTAGATAAGTTCTTATATTAAATAATGTGTTCTTGGAATAACCCAGTTAGGTCATGAGGTATCCCTATGTATTTTGGAATTAGTTGTTAATATTTATTTGAGTTGCTAATATTTTAAGATGGCATTTGTGTTTATGACTGAGATGGCCTCTAAAAATTTGCTGACACTATCTTTAGGCATTTAGATCATGTTAAGATAGCTTTGGAATAAATTATGTATGCCAGCTTAAAAAAAAAAAAAAAAGGAAGACATTCTCGGGCAACCTGGGTGGCTCAGCGGTTTAAGCACCTGCCTTCCGCCCAGGGTGTGATCCTGGGGTCCCGGGATCGAGTCCCATGTTAGGCTCCCTGCATGGAGCCTGCTTCTCCCTCTGCCTGTGTCTCTGCCTCTCAAGAATAAATAAATAAAATCTTAAAAAAAAAAAAAAAAGACATTCTCATAGCTGTAATTTTGCACATTATATGTTGAAGTGAAATGAAGTAAAACTGTATTTATACAGATACGAAGTCAGAAAAGGGTTTTTAAAGCCTTTTCAGATGATTAGCTATTTCATATTACACTACTAGTGGTAAGTTTTATAAAGGCAATGTGGAATCTGAAACTATCAAATAAGCTTGCTGTACTCTTGTGTTAAAACACTGGTCTTAGGGTACCTGGGTGGTGCAGGCACTTAAACATCTGACTTGATTTCAGAAGTTCAGGGCATGACCTCAAGGTTGTGACAGAGCCCCATTTTGGGCTCTGCTTGGTGTGGAGTCTGTTTGAGGGATCCCTGGGTGGCGCAGCGGTTTGGCGCCTGCCTTTGGCCCAGGGCACGATCCTGGAGACCTGGGATCAAATCCCACGTCAGGCTCCCGGTGCGTGGAGCCTGCTTCTCCCTCTGCCTGTGTCTCTGCCTCTCTCTCTCTCTCTGTATGACTATCGTAAATAAAAAAAATAATAATAAAAAAAAGAAAGTCTCTCCCTCTCCCCCCTCCCACTTGTGCTGTCTCTCTAATAAATCTTAAAAAAAAAAAAAAAACCCTGTCTTATTCCTTTTTGAAGATTTTATTTGAGAAATAGAGTGCATGACCAGGGGGAGGGACAAGAGAGGGAGAAGCAGACTCTTTGCTGAATAAGGAGCCTGACACAACCAACCGAGCCACCCAGGAGCCCCCCACTTTATTTTTTAAGATTTTATTTATTTTTGGTCTTACACTTTTGACTGAATCTCTTCACCATGAATGATCTTGTAATATGCATTAGTCATTTTCCAAATGTTGGTTCACTGATTTAGGCAGATCTTCTAAATAATATATCATACAGATCACATCTGTTAATACCACCAATCTCATCAGAAGAGTCTAAGTGTTAGGAAGATGTCAAGCTCATGGTGGCAATACAAGTTTTCAAAAATTCTAATTTTTGCTTGAGGGCATTTTTTCATTGGTAACACCACCAGTTTGCCTTGAAGCAAAAGGCTCACTCCATCTATTCCTGAAAAAACCATCTGCCAATTAGCCAAGCCTAAGTAACAGAATTTGCCAGTTTTTTCACATAAAAAAAGGGCCATGAAGACAGTTCAGCATGCAGTTGTACTACACATCTGCTTTTCGTCAAGACAGCCTTAATTCAGTGTATGGCAGAGGGCCTTATCCTGCTTCCAACTTCGGCAGGTGAGCTGTGTTCTCAGGAGTCAAGATTTAACACAATTTTTAATTGTTCTATGCGGGACAACCCTAACCAAAGTTGCCACTGTTTTTACTGTGAGGGCCAAGCAGCGAAGACTATGAGCACTAGTATGGGGTGTCACTGCTTTGATTCCTGCCACAGCTGACTGCTCAGGTCCCCTGACAGGCTCTCAAGACTACACTCTGAGAGCCACTGCACTGGACATGGCCTCAGCAGTCTTTTCAAAACCTAAGGTCATGATTTCTGTGGTATATAAAATCAGGTGACGACTGTAGCTCTGGGGATAGTCTTCAAGTCAAAACCCATTTGGAAGGGACTTTCAGAAGACAACTTGAGAGACTGAAAAACTGATTAAGGAGTGATTCTCTACCTTTTAAATTATCATGCCCCTAATGAGTCTTACTAGACATCTTTTTTCTATTCGCCTAGACCACAGATGTTAATATTGGTGGTCCATTAGAGAGCCGCAAATTATGGTCTCTAAGATTTTTTTTGCTCCCCGACCTGAGAACCAATTTTCAGCCCCACTGAGAATGTATGGCCTATAGCCAATAGTAACTCCCTCTTAGGGTTCCTATCCTTCCCATTTATCTTTCAGCATTTCCAGTTGCCACTACAGCATAATGGCACAGAAGATACATGAGAGTTCCTAAGGGAAAGGAGAAACATTCTAAACCAGCCTACATTAAAAAAATTTCCTTCAATACTGACTGAATGTCTTAAATATAAGGATTTACCCAGAAATCAGGAAGGCAGGACCTATTTCAGAAAAGGACTCACCATGGAATTCTTTTAAGTTGGGAATATCTTTATAAAATAGGATTTGGGACTCAGATGACCTATTTCTATAAAGCTTCCAATTTCTGAAAAGCTTAAGATGTATCCCCTGTACATAAAGATATGGTGACTATAAATACTATATTCACCACCACCCCTGCAAAATTTAACACTGTGCTCTCAAGAAAGCAAAATCTGTGGTATAACCACAACACACTGATGTTCCATAGCTCTTTACCATGGGCCCCATGTCAAAGGAGGGGAAGAGTGAGTGGTTCTGTGGCTCTGCACTTCTACCCAAGTCTGAATGGAAGAGAGCCAGGTTAAACAAAGGTCAAGGATGCTCCTCCAGGTCCTCTTGGAGCTGGGAAAGTCTTATGACATTTTCTGGGGAATCATAATTCTGTCCAAAGTCAAGTGGCTCAGATGCCTTCTGGTCGCTGATACTTCCAGAAGGCCACCTCCCCGTCATCACTGCAGGAGGCCAGGAGCCCCTGCTCCTTGGGGTTCCAGGCCACACAGTTGACATCCTGGGAATGGGCCTGAGGCAAGTGGGCTGTCAGGGAGAAGGTGGGCTGCTGTGGATCTGAGCTGGGATCCTCCTCAAACACACGGATGGCATCATCCCCACAAGCTGTAGCCAGGGCCCCTGTCAGCTGACACCTGGGAGGAACATGTGCATTGGTGAGTATGCAGGTGGCTCCTCCCTCTCCAATCTGGCAAATCAGGCAGAAGAGATTAGTTCTACAGTCCTTGGGCAGCTCTTCCCAACCTTCAGGCCTCAGCCACAAGTCTATTAGTGAAGAGCTTCCCTAACTAACATAGCCACAAACACCATCCCCTAATTCTTCAAGTGCTGCCACCTAGTTTCCCCAGTCAACCCAAAAAACTCTATGATTCTGAACTGCACTTTTCTTACATAGCATAAGCAGCTTCTCTTATCATAAGTTATTCTTAACCATTTCTTTAAACAGTAACAGGTTGTTGAATTTTGCCATACTTAAGGTCACTTGTCATTCCCAAACATTTGCTAATATAAAGCTTAGGTGCATATCAACTATTTTTATGGTTTGGATTATTTCCTATGGATAGATTCCTAGTGCCAGAATTGCCCTCTGACCACTCCTTTATGAATGGCACAGCTTCTCTAGACTCCATAAGGGTAGAGTCAGGGTTACCAACCCATAAAAATCCCAACCATGAACCCAATTTCTACAATAACTTTGGATGTACGAGACTGTGTGACATCCCCCCCTCCCCCCAACACAAGGCTGATGCTGCCGTCACAGCCTGTGATCTTAAAGTAGGTACAGACCCGGTTCTGTAAGTCTGTTCCCTGCTCCTGGGACCCTCAGGCTGGCCAGCCCTAGGCCAGCATGGTACACAGTCTGCCTAATCTGAAGAAATGAAGGGGGCTGCTCTCTGTTTCCATGCATTCCTAAAGGTGGTAGGAGCACAGGGTTTTGTCTTCTCTAAAATCTCTCCAAACAGGTGGGTGTGGGGATGGAGGTCTTACCAAGCAACGTCATAAATGGTCCTGGAGTGGAAGCCCGACAAAGTGCAGATACATTTCCAGCTGGGGTCAGAGCCGCTGCATGCCACCCCTGTACAACAGACTTCTCTGAGCCGAAGACAGGTCTGTGTCCGGGGGACCTCAGGGGAGGAGCTGCTAATCTGCCCTCCCTCACCCCCATCTTCAGTCATGAGTCCTCATCCTTACTGATCTGCCTTACATACTGTGGTCAGACAGGGATTTTTACAGCAGAATTCTAAGGAAAGGTCCTGTTCCTTAACAACTTTGCAGCCGACTATGTCTGACTAGTTAGCCTGCCTTTTAAGGCCACCAACCAGCCCACCCAGCCACCTGACCCACCTTATTACTCCCAAATCCTTTATACTCTATGCTCCAACTAAAGGGATCCCTTTAGTTGATTATGATTATTATGATTCCTGGCATAAATCTAGGCTTTTGCACCTTCAATGCCTTTGCTCATGCTGGTCTGTTTCAACCCAGAATTATCTTCTTGTGTTAAAATCCTATACACACTTTCAAGTTCAGATGGAATGGCTCCTTTTCCACACAGCCATCCTTGATTCCGCCAGCACTCGCTTGGGAGCCCTCTCGTGGCACATCTCTCTTACTACTCCAGTTTGCTGTGATTTATCTCTAGGTCTTAGACCCTTAGTACACTGTAAACCTCATGAGAGAGGAGTCTCCTTTAGGTCTCGGACTGGCCACTCACCTTGCTCGTTGTCTGGTAGATACTGGCGCCAGATACGCACAGTACGGTCATCACTGCAAGATGCCAAGCGCTGGCCACTGGGGTCAAAGGCCAAGCTCCACACAGTGGATTCATGGCCTTCAAGGGTGGCACAACATACCCAATCATCCTCTTCCTCCCGGTAGAGCTTTACTGTGTCGTCATAGCTGGCAGAGGCTAACAGCTGGGGGAAGGAAGGGAACACAGCACTTGTCTATAGGGCTCAGGAAGTGCCTATAGTACCAGTGCCTCTCCCAGCTAGGACAGTCCCAGAGATCTGTCTCTATAAAGGGATTAATAACGTTTTTTCATCACAGACAGAGATCCCCATAGAAGCCAGGTTGAGGCTGAAGAGCAGAGAAAGGCTGGGTACAACTCTCCACACCAAAGTTCCTTCCCACTAAGATAACTTCACCCCACTCTTACCTCCTGGCTTGGGTGCCAAACCACATGCTTGACATCCTGCGTGTGAGAGTTGAGGACGCTGACACATTCATACTCATCTTCTTCATCAACTACGGGAAAGAAAAAGAAAGGAGCCCACGAGCTGACCTCGTCAGGGACACAGAGGGGGATGGCTGTTTACTGGCTCCCAACTCCATCGAGATGGATTTAGACTCACCTTCCCAGACCCACACACTCTTATCTCGGCTGCAGGTGGCAAGAAGGTTGCCAGAAGGGGCCCAGGCCACTGACTTGACCTCATTTTCATGGCCCTCTAGAGTAGTTACACACTGTGAAAAGAGAAGAGGAACAAGAATCAAGCAACTAAGATCTCCGGTGTTCTTTGCATGGGTACAGCCCAGCTAGCCCAGGTTGGCTCAGGTTCCTGAACCAGCCCTGGGGAGCAAAAAGGCAACAATCCTGCTCCCATCCACCCTGGTTACCTCAAAGTCATCCTGGTTCTTTTTCCAAATGCAAGTGGTAGCATCGAAACTGGCAGAGGCCAGGTAATTGCCACACGGAGACCAGGCCACCTTCCGCACGGTGCGCTGGTGGCCTTCGGAAAGGACAGATTTGCAGATCCAGCTGTCACCTAAGAGCAAAGGACAGGCCAAGCTCTGGAGCTGGGTGCACAAGAAGGTAGAGAAGCACTATCAATCCGATGGGCAATGGGGGGATTATCTGGTCGGTGCATTTAAAAGCTTGCTTTCGGAAAGCTGTAACTACTACTTCCTCCACCTCCCCTGCAGGCATCCTTCTAAAACAACCCGAGGAGTCACCTACCTTATTTTAAACTGTCAATGGCTCCCAAATGCCCTCAGGATAAAATTTAAACTTCACATTGGGTCACAAATTACTCTGCAGATTACATTCCCACCACCCTTCTCTCCTTTTCCGGCCTCAGCAACTATCATAACTTCCTCAACAGTTCTGGCCTACTGACGTTTTTGCTTCCTCTACTCGCCAACTCCTTCACCCACAAAGTCTCTCCTAGAGTGAGTAACGTCTAACTCAAGGCAGCTTCTCACTTAGCCCCCTGGCCTGTAACCTCATTCAGGGTGGGCTTGTCCCAAAGGCCGCGTACTCCCCGAGCCCAGCACCCACAGCCGCGCACACGCGCACGCTGAGCCCCGGCAGCAGGGGTGGTGCAGCCAGACTGGGCCTGACCTTCGGTGCCCCAGATGCGGACTCTACGGTCACCACCGCACGACGCCAGCAGGGTTCCCGTGGGGTTCCAGGCCAAGAACCAGCACCGGGAGTCCGGGTGCGCCGGGACGCGGCCTAGCAGCACCAGCGAGTCCTTCATGGCGGCCCCCAGCAGGATGTGGAGGAGGTGGACAGAGGCGACCGCGCCGACGGCGAGTCCGGCAGTGCAAAGCTCCGCGACGCCCGCTCAGGCCTCGGACGGCCTTCAGCCTCCGCCGATTTCCGCCCGAGGGCCCGGGTCTTCCTGGGAACTGAAGTGCCCGCGGCTGCGACCGTGCTGCCCTCTGGGAGTTGTAGTCAATTTGCCAACCCACCCTCCACCCCGCCGGCAGCCAGTACCGTGAGACAGCCTCGCCGGGAATAGGCGGCGCGCCCAGGCTGTGACGCGCGCGGGGGACGGGGCGGGGAGCCGGAGGAGGCGGAGGCCGAGGTGAAGGAAGCCGGAAGTGGATCGGGCCCGGGTCGGCCGGGGCGTTGCGGGTTTAGGGCCTGGGATCGCTCTGCCCCAGGCAGCTGCGGAACCCGTGACGGAACGGAGCGGCGCCATACCGGCCCTGAGGCCTACTGACCGGTGAGGAACAGGGGTCGGTGTGGGGGAAGGTCCTTTCTGGCCAGAGGTCGCACCCCAGAGCACTGTTCCCAGGTCCCGGATCCCCGATCCCCGCGGCCCAGCCTGGCCCCCGACCCCTGGGCACTCTTGGCCGAGATCGCGGAGCTGGGTCTCTCTCGCATCAGTAGCCGGTACCAGCCCCCCCACTCCGTTCTGCCCCCATCCTGGCCGGCTCGCAGCCCTCTCCGGGTCCCTATTCCGAACCTCCGCAGCCCCACTCCAGGGACCCCATCCCCGCCCCCCCCCCCGACTCCCTGCAGCCCTCCTGTCTGGGCTGGGCCCCAGGTCCCACCCTCTATCCTCCCGTGTGGGCCCTGACAGCGTTGTGTCGGCCTCCCCTTCTGTGAACCCAGCGCCTTGCTCTCCTCCCCGGGACAGGCAGGCTCAGCGCGCCCTGCGGAGGTCCGCGGCGACCAGCAGCGACCGCGGAGCGACGGCGGGCGGCCCCGGGCATGTACGCCCCCGGAGGCGCAGGGCTGCCCGGCGGGCGCCGGCGGAGGAGCCCGGGAGGCAGCGCTCTGCCCAAGCAGCCGGAGCGTAGCCTGGCCTCGGCTCTGCCGGGTGCCCTGTCCATCACGGCGCTGTGCACTGCCCTCGCCGAGCCTGCCTGGCTGCACATCCACGGTGGCACCTGTTCCCGCCAGGAGCTGGGGGTCTCCGACGTGCTGGGCTACGTGCACCCGGACCTGCTGAAAGGTGAGGGCGCTGCGCGCCGGCCCTCTTCTTTCTGAGCGATAGGACCTCCTTGGCTGATAGCAGAATGTGGTGCGGGCTGGAGCAGAGATAGCCGGCGGCAGGCTCTTGGCTTGAAGGAAACAACCCCATTCCTGCCTGGTGTTCATGCCCACCAGGTGGCTCTCTTTGGGGTCTGGCCCCTCATTAATTCTGATGTTATTCAGCCAGGCACCTACTTCTCTCGCCATGCTAATATGGACTGCTGCTATTTTAGGATACTGCTGGAGGAAGGGCGCTGTATGTGGGGAACAGATAAGGGTGCTAGGCATCACAATTAGCTGTCCCCCTAAGGAGCGTATGGGATATAGGAAGGTTTCTTTGGGCAGCCTGATGGAGGGAGGAAGAGAACTTTTAATGTGGCTAGATTTTAAAAGATATTTTGGGAGATTCCCTGGGTGGCTCGGCAGTTTAGTGCCTGCCTTCGGCCCAGGGCATGATCCTGGAGTCCTGGAATCGAGTCCCAAATTCGGCTCCCTGCATGGAGCCTGCTTCTCCCTCTGCCTTTGTCTCTGCCTCTCTCTCTCCGTGTGTGTCTCTCATGAATAAATAAATAAAATATTAAAAAAAAGATATTTTGGAGTTCTGCTATAATTGGGTTGTTGCTAGAGAAAAGGGAAGTCTGGCATTTTCAATAACCAGAAGTCAGTTCCGTTGCCACTCTCAGTAAAACAATTGGAATTTGGTTCTTGGAACCTTTCCAAGTGGGCTTGATGGAGCTAAGGTTGCTTTGTTCATCATAGTGCTTCCTAGCCAGGTAAGCAGAGGAAAGGAGAAAGGGACTGTTCTTTACTAGGCACAGAGGTGGCCGATCTGGGGGTGGGAGTGGGAGTAGGAGGCTGTCCGATGTCGTCCCATAGGTCATCTTGCCCAGCCTCATGTCCAGTAATGAAAGTAAAGGCTGTATGGTGTGAGGGCAGGACTGCACTTGCCTTGCTTCTACCAAAGAAATAGAGGACCCCAAAAAAGCCTTTAATAACAGCAGGATTCATCACCCCCTAGGTCTTTTGAATCATTTATGAAGGTCTTCATATTTCCTTCCTGAACCACCCCCTGGCTATGATGCATTCCAGATGTTTACTGCCCCACGTATCAGAAGCATTAGATATCTTCACATTACCTCTTTAAGGATTCAGTCACAGGGATTTGGTGAAAAGGTCAAATTCCCTTCTGTGCTTTGGATTATATACCACTTTTGCAGGTCTAGTCTGATAAACCCTAACCTTGTAACCTAATGTTACCTTTCTCTGTGAGTTCTCTTGCTGTTTTGCATCTCGAGTTTTTAAGGCTTGAGGATAATTTTGTAGACAATAGGATGGGAGTGCCTGGTTTATTTCCAGATTTCACCATGATGGCCTTGGCTGGTTTGGTTCATTGAGACCCAAGTTATATACATAATGCTGGAGGCCTTGTGATGTGCAGCTTTTTGTCTGGCGTGTAGCTGGTGGCAGAAAGGCCATCAAGCTTGCGTGGACTCTGGATGGTTTTTCCCTTAACACATTGCTTCTTTGAAGCACAGCTGCTGCCTTTCCACCACTTCTTGCATGCAGGTCTTTGCCATCGAGCCTCTGCTGTTTCAGTGTTTCAAAAACTTGGTGTCACCTACAAACTGGGAGAGAGTTCACAGTGCTTCTCCCTTTCAAATCATTCCTGGGGAGGCTCACAAAATTCGTGTGATGGAGCGAGAGGCACTCTGATCCCATGTTCTTATTTCAGAGGTCCAGGAGGCTGTGGCTCAGAGAAGTGAAGCGATTTCTCCAGGGCCACACAGTTAGGGGCATAGCTGAGGCTACTCACATCTGTTGACTCCAGTATAAAATGATGCTTCTCATATGCTCTTTAACCTTTGTTTTACTTCAGTGTCATAGAGAATGATCTCATGAGTTTTCCACTTTGGAGTGCATCCTTGTCAAAGGCATTTGAAAAAAAAAATCTTGATGTAGGTTCTCTTTTGTTTATTTATATATCTACCCTTTTCAAGAAGTTTTTAAGCCAGATTTTGTCTTTAATAAAGCATGTTACCTTACCCTTTACATTACATGTACTTACGTGTTTAGGGATTTTAACCCATGGATAGTTGTGTGTTTATGTGTGTGTGTGTGTGTGTGTGTTTAAGATTTTATTTATGGGGGCAGTGAGGGGCAAAGGAAAGGCACAGGCGGGCTCCACACTGAGCATGGAGCCTAACACAGGGCTCAGGCCCACACCCTGAGATCATGACCTGAGCTGAAACCGAGAGTCAGACGCTCAACCGACTAAGCCACCCAGGAACCCCAACCAATAGATAGTTTCAACCTGATTTTCTGTGGCCATCTTTTTGGCTATTGCAAGCTAGGAACACGCTTAGGATGTGCATTAATAAGAGAGGTGACTGGGATCCCTGGGTGGCTCAGTGGTTTAGCGCCTGCCTTTGTCCCAGGGCATGATCCTGGAGTCCCAGGATCAAGTCCCGCATCGGGCTCCCGGCATGGAGCCTGCTTCTCCCTCCTCCTGTGTCTCTGACTCTCTCTCTCTCTCTATGTCTATCATAAATGAATAAATAAATAAATCTTTAAAAAAAATAGGAGAGGTGACAGTTGTACCTCACAAAGTATCACAGAAGAAGGCAAGGAATTAGGAGGTCCCTGGTTGCTTCTCTTCCTTTACTTTGTACCTGTTGGCTTTTTGCTACCCAGTGGGCCTTTAGATATGGGCTATCCTGTGCAATTATGTTGATCTTTAAGACCTAACCCATGTCCTAACGTGGAAGCCTGGGATATTCTCTATCTCAGGAGGGAGCAGAGCTTCAGGGCACAGATCTGATGCCAGTAGATGCCACCAGAGGGAAAAACAGGCCCTACTGGGTCTCTGCAGGTTAAGGGGGGTGGGCAGGGCTGGCAGGCTTTGGAGCAGTGCCTTCTGTTTTCTCAGCCCCTGGCCTGAGTGCCAGGCATTGTGCTAAGCACACTCCACGTCTGGGTTTGGTTTCTCCTAAGTATCTTTATCTGGCAGGTATGTCCTCACCTCCACTTCACAAAGGTCTCAGGCTCAGGGTAGTCAGGTAACATGGGCTCGGAGGCACACAGCTGGTGTGCACGGTGGGGACCCCACTCTTTGCCATCACACCTTAGTGCACTCTAGGTTTCTTTTTCCTTCTGTCAGAGTTGTCCAAGGCTTATTATTTCCCCATTCTAAGAAGTGGAGATTTTCTCACAAGCCCAGCCAAAACTGCTGCTTATCCCTCATTGCCTCAATATTCCAGCTCAAGTTGGTGATCCTGAGGCAAAGCCACTCCCCCTCCTGCTGTCATTTGCAGAGCCCCAGAATGCAAATGCTGGCTGGCTCAAAAGATTTGGTCCTGAATTCTTTCCCTCCCCAGGAGGTGCCTGCTTCTCGCAGAGCCCCTCACCCTGGGCCCAGGTTCAGAGATACGTTCAGACTGCTGGTGGCCCCAAGCAGGGGGGGGCCCACATAAGAGTTCCTTCTGAACCCCAATCCCTCTCTCTGATCTGCGGCCAGCAAAGGGCAGCTCTGACAACTTCAGGAAGCATCTTTGGAGAATGAGGAAGTTTGGGTTTTGAAGTCAATGAATCACAGTTGACAATAAGCCACTGGAAGTGGAAGGCCCTTCCAGGAAGGGCCAGTGTGCCTGCTGAGTGGTGACTAATGCAGCTGGCACTTCTGATGCCTGCCTTGTCAGGCCTGTCCGCAGAGTCAGCTCTGCTAGGACCATGGTAGCTGTGATGATGCCCCTCCAGGCACTAGAGGACCCTGTTGGAGTCTGATGTCAGAAGGCTGTCTGGAAGCCAGAAAGTCCCAGTGAGCTACGCAGGTGGGATGAATAAGCACTGAGAAGGATTCAAGCCATAGGGAAGGGTCTCTAACTCACAGGGACTCCAGGGAGGGGTGAAGTGAGGGGAGATGAGAGAAAAAGAAGGGAACTGTCCAGAAGCCACTTTACCCTTCCTGCCTGCAGCCTGTTTGGGTTAGGAGTCTGAGGACAGTGGGCAGGTAGACAGGAAAAGCCAGGGCCTTCAAAACAAATCCAGCCCAGTGACTCACCAGTAACCTTGGGCAAAGTCAATTCCTTGGGATTCTATTACACAGCAGCTGCCTTCTTCTCTGGTGACTAGAGGGGACAGTCAGCGATCATTACCAAAATAAACAGCACAACTGGAGAATAGGATGTGTTCTCTGTCTTACCAGAGTATAGTACACCATACCACTTGTTTGAACTTAAAATTAGGACTCTGCCCCATGTGCCATTTTTCTCCACAAATAAAATTATATATATATATATATATATGTATATATAATATTTGGGCATTTCGTTTCCCTTTAGCACCCCTCAAGGGAGTGGATATTCAGTGCTTTCCCTGCCATACTGATGGCTGGCAGGGGGAGAGAGAAACATACATTGAGTTCTTGACCCTAGAATAGCCTGAGCTGGGTTCTGAGCATGTCTGGGATAACTCTGCCTGGCTCCTCTGTGTGCTCTGAGACCCTTTGATGAGAGGCTGCCCAGGACGTGAGGCCGACTCCTGGTGTGTCTATAAGCATCACTCCAAGAGAAGTTTATATTGGCTTTTCCACTAAGCCTGAGGGTTTACTCACAGCTTTAGAGCAGAGAAAGGCAGTCATGTTGAAACAAAACCCAGTTGAATTTTAGGTCAAAATCTTCTCTGTACTACATCATCACTCTGGTGGGGCAGATTCTCAGCCTGGCTTTAATGGGCTCTCTCCCTGGCCCGCACTGGCTGATGTGTGCAGACGAAGTACTGGTAGAAGGAGGAAAGGGACACCAGGGATGACACAGCTGTGGCCCAGCTGTAAGAGCCCAGTGCTGAGGGAGCAGGCTAGTGGCAGTTAATATGGGCTCTTTCCTGGCATGGTGTGAGTTGACTATCAGCATACCCTTATGTACAGGGAGCAGGTGTTTGAACTTTCATTTGCTAGATGAGAGAGGAGGGCAGTTAAGTGACTTGCTCAAGGTAACACATAGTCTATGGTCCACCTAAAATTTGGTGCCGAGGCTGGTGCCTTTCTGGTGTCCCCAGTGCTTCTAAGAGCCAAACTCTAATGGCTGCAGAAGCCTAGAGCACACCAAGCAGGTTTTGTCCAGTAATTCCCAGTGTGAGTACCTTTCATGGCTTAATGATCCAAAGCTTTCTTGCCTAGAAGAGGTTTCATCCTTCCAGCTGTTCCCATAGTGAGCTCAGCAGCTGCTGGCTCCGAGGATGGCTCTGACAGCATTCATATTAACTTTTGACCCTTCATTCAAATACAGCTCTTTAGAACTTGATTGATTATCTCCATCAGGGAAAAATGAAACCGCTAACTCTGGTGCTTGGTGATTCTGAGCATCATGATACAAGGGAGCCTGATGCAGGTTAGGAGGCTTCACTGTGCTGTGTGACCTGGAGGAAGTCACTTAACCTCCTGGAGCCTCTGAGTCCTGATCTGAGCTGTGTGATGAATCCCCCAGCGTGGAGTGAGGCTTAACTAAAATAACTTTTTTTTTTTTAAAGTAGGCTCCATGCCCAACGTGCGGCTTGAACTCACAACCCTGAGATCAAGAGTCACATGCCCCACTGACTAAGCCAGCTAGACACCCCAACTAAAATAACATTTGACCCATCTGTGTGTACAGGCTATTCCTGGAGGGGTACAGCAGAAACCACCAACAATGTTTTTCTCTTGGGAGTGGCAGTTGGACATTTGGAAAGGGCGATATGTCTTCTCTGAAGTTTCTTATCATGTGCAAGTTTTCCTTAATATTGAAATAATTGTATTATGAAACATAAGAGAGGATCTCTGGGTGGCTCAGCGGTTTAGCACCTGCCTTCGGCCCAGGGCGTGATCCTGGAGTCCTGCAATTGAGTCCCACATCTGGGCTCCCTGCATGGAGCCTGCTTCTCCCTCTGCCTGTGTCTCTGCCTGTCTCTCTTTCTCTCTGTCTCTGTCTCTCATGAATAAATAATTAAAATCTTAAAAAAAAAAGTGGACACATAGGAGTATATATAATAAACATACATTTTTAAGGATGGTAATAAAATGAACATCCTGTACTCCCTTTGCAGCTGAAGAAAGTGTCTAAAGTCCTGGTGTATTCTTTTTTTCAGTTAAAACTAATTGTTGGGGCACCTGGGTGGTACAGTTGGTTAACTTCCTACTCTTGGTTTTGGCTCAGTTTGTGATCTCAGCATCCTGAGATTGGCCCCACATTGGGCTCCATGCTCAGTGCAGAGTCTCCTTGGGATTCTATCTCCTTCTGTCCCTCCCCACCACGCTTGTGCGTTCGTGTGTGTTCCGCCCCCCCCCCCCATAATAAGTCTTTGGAAAAAAAGTAATTGTTAAAATATAGTTGATTTTTAAGAATCACAGTTAAAGCACCACTCAGTGCCTGGCCACACTAAGTAGTACTGCTGGAATCAGAAGACTGTCTACTCTAGCACAGAGTGTGATGTAAGCCATTACACCCTGCTGCTCTTAGGTTATTCTTGGAAGCACTAGAAGAACACTTTCGTCCTGCTACGTGCCCATGTGGAGCCCAAGATGAACTATCTCAGAGAGCTTTTAACAGTATTCAGATACAGGGAGGAAACAGTGCCTACCTCTAGGAGCTTTTCTTTTAGTAAGGCCCGTGGGTTTCTAGACTTTCAGGCCACAACGCTGACTTAGGCTATGTAGGGCTGGGTTAAGTGAAGGCTGGCCCTGGTTGCTGGCAGGAAGCTTCTCGGCAGCAGATGGTTTCCCAGACTGGGTGACTGGGCCCAAAACAGATGGTTAGCTGACAAGGGAGTGACAGAGAGTTCTGGGGCAGCTTAATGGATGACCTGCAGCCAGATCGAGGCATAGGAGTCCTGTGTGGGCTCAGCCAACATCTGCTTGGTGAATTCTAAGCCTGAGGCAGAGAATGCATGCTGTCATACAGGCCCAGAGTCTCTTGATATCTGGTCTAGTTCTTCAGTATGGGAGGCCAGACCCTCTGCCCAGGACCCAGAGATGTCAGTGTCGGTTGGTTTGAGTCTGCTTTGTGGGGTTCAGGTCCCCTCTCCAGGTTCTTGGGACTTTCCAACGGTCTACCCTGCTCCAGGCCCAGAATCAGTGTTTCTTGGAATAGAAAGCTTGGCCCACCTGCATGGGAATTCACCTGGCCTGCTTGCTAAAATCCAGATTCCGAGGCCCTGCTCCAGGCCGAGAGCTCAGAATCTCTGGGGCCTGAGCACATGCTCTCAGTTAGCACCCCTGTGATTTCCATGCACCCTAGAGTGATGGCCATGACCCTACAGCCTCTCAGCCTGAGATCAGGACTCTGGAAAGGAGCCTATAGTCTAAGAACTCCCAGCCCTTTCCAAATTTTCCTAAATCAGTTGGCAACCCATGACCTAAATGAAAGAACTTGCTCATGGCTTGAATAGACGAAGGAGAGAAAGTTAAGGCCCATTTCTTTTTATCAAAGCTTAAAATGGTTTCTTTTTGGATCAGCCTTTATTCTGTCTGTATCTCTGGAGCTCTGGTAGTTTACATAGATATAAAACGAGACTCACAGTGTTGTTTAGATGATTTTTTTGTTGTTGTTGTTTTAAAGAAGAAAGTGTTAAAGTCTTAGAAGTTGGCTCTATATGTCTGGTGTACAATTGTCATCGGGGGTCCTCCCTTATCCACGACCCTGGGGACTCTGAATGTCGGGTCTCCTGTTTGAGCATCTTCCTTTTTTCTTGATTTACTTCCTCATTTTGGTAGAGCAGGTACTCCTCGATGGCTTCACCCTCATTCTAGGAGGTATTGGGGGCTGTCAGTTTCCAAGTCTGTCAGGCTTTTGTGGTATAAACTAGTTGCTTCTTAGGTTTTTTTCTCCTTCTGGCTTACACTTGGGCTTATCTAGTCTGCTAAGTCCATTCCGAGGAGGTCTCACTCCTTTTAATTTCCAGTGTCCAGAATTTTGTTTTGCCCCTTTCCTCTTTGTGCAGATCCATGCCTTATTTTTTTTTCTTTTGTTTTCGTAGGGTGCAGGGAGGGAGCAAACATCAATGTGAAGGTCTAGTCTACCATCTTTCCTAATTTATTTAGCAGTTTTAATTCTCTGTGGCTGTCTTGGCTCAAAAGTCAGTGGGCATTTCCTGCCAGCCTAAAGCACGCTTTAGCAGAATGTGTTAACACGTCAGGCTTATTGTCAGGGTCTTTACGAGTGGTCAGCAGAGTGTGGCAAGTCCAAGGAAATGGAGTCCTTAGAATGATTTTATTGGAAAGGGAAGAAAGACTTCAAACGCATGGGAGCCTTTCTGCAGTTCACCTCCTCTGTAGGCTGGCTGGGAGCAGGAGCTGAGACTGCTCCCTCTAATACTCCCCCTGCTCCCCAGTACTGTGGTGGAGAGGGACAAACTCTTCTCAGCAGGAGGACTTCCTGCACCAGGGTGTCGCTTGGGGTCCTGAAGATTTGGTTCTTCCCCTACAGACTTCTGCATGAATCCCCAGACAGTACTGCTTCTGCGGGTCATCGCCGCCTTCTGCTTCCTGGGCATCCTGTGCAGTCTCTCTGCGTTCCTCCTAGATGTCTTTGGGCCCAAGCATCCCGCTCTGAAGATTACCCGTCGCTATGCCTTCGCCCACATCCTCACAGGTACGCTTGGGCCTGCTCACTGTGGGGAAGAAATGGCCACAGGGCCAAGGCATCCTGTCTGGAGTTGCAGATGAGGATGAAGGGGCTGCTGTGAGCAGACACATTCTAGATGCTCATTTCAGCTCTAGCCCAATGGACTGTGAGAGCAGCTTGCTTCTTTTGTTTGCATGTATGCCTGCCAGGACCACAAACCCACTCAGCCCAGCTGTAGAGAGGGAATGTTGTTAGTATTCCATAAGAAATCTTGGTGCTGGGATCCCTGGGTGGCGCAGCGGTTTGGCACCTGCCTTTGGCCCAGGGCGCGATCCTGGAGACCCAGGATCGAATCCCACGTCGGGCTCCCGGTGCATGGAGCCTGCTTCTCCCTCTGCCTGTGTCTCTGCCTCTCTCTCTCTCTCTCTCTCTCTCTCTCTCTGTGACTATCATAAATAAAATTTAAAAAAAAATTAAAAAAAACAAAACTGCTCACGTTTTAAAAAAAAAAAAAAAAGAAAGAAATCTTGGTGCTCTCTAAGAACTGGAGTTGAAGCTCAGCTGGGCTCAGGGGGCCCAGAATGAGCAGGGAAGGAGCCAGGGTGTTCACTATGTCTCCCCGGGAACACATGGTCTCATCGGATTCTCTCCTTCCTGCTTCCCCACACACCACCTTTCTGTGCTTAGATGCAGCTTCTCCCCTCCCTCATGACTGGACTGGTATGATGATTTGACTTGTGGTGGTACTGACTCCAGCCTCCACGCTGTGTGACCTGGTCTATCCATTTCAAAGTACCCAGTGACTTCTAGCAGCCTGGTATCTCGATTCCAAATTCTTGAGACAGAGAGACTCTGACTGGCTCAGAAGGACTCAGTCATCTGGCCCTGGCCCTGGCCCTGGCCCAAGAATCTCACGGCCAGGAGAGCTCCCTATCACAGAGTCTGGGGCCAGGCAAGTTCTCTGAGAATGGGGTTTGGGGAGATAGAATATAGTTGGTTCTTTAAGCAACCTGGCTACAGGGTGCCTACTTACTCCCCTTCTGTGCTATCTCTCTGTCCCCCAGTCCTGCAGTGTGCCACCGTCATCGGCTTTTCTTACTGGGCTTCTGAACTCATCCTGGCCCAGCAGCAGCAACATAAGAAGTACCACGGTTCCCAGGTCTATGTCACCTTTGCTGTCAGTTTCTACCTGGTGGCAGGAGCTGGTGGAGCTTCAATCCTAGCCACAGCAGCCAACCTTCTGCGCCACTACCCCACGGAGGAGGAGGAGCAGGCCCTGGAGCTGCTCTCAGAGATGGAGGAGAATGAGCCCTATCCAGCAGAGTATGAGGTCATCAACCAATTCCAGCCGCCCCCGGCCTACACACCCTAATACCAGCCAAGGGTATTCTTCTGCAGCAGCCCCTCCCCACTCTGCAGCGCCTCTCACACCCAGAGGAGCTCCTCTCCCCAGCAGGCCTCACTGGTAGGATCCTGACCATTTCACCAAACCTTCCCAGGAAAGACTCTGTCTGTAGGGGTGTTCATGTATCCCTACTCTCGAAACCTGGGATTCACTGATTTTATATAATGCACTGTTTTCCCTCTTGTCACCTTCCTGTCCCTTTGCGGTCACTAGTCATTACCAACCAGGGATGGTCATAGAAGTTTTCTCCCTTCATGGGCCATAGCTTTGAAACTTGGACTTTCCCTGGGGAGCTGCTGACAGTGGGCACTCCCAGACAGAAGAAGCATCAGCAGATTCAAAGGGAAAGGGGACCGTGCCCTGTAGGCTCACTTCATAACAGCCAGCGTTTGTCCCCCCGCTGTAGCCCCAGCCTGATCCCTACCCCCCATTCCTTCTTGGAGCGCCACAGCAATGGGCTGCCCGCTCCATGGAATTCTCTGCACTTTAGTCTTTGGACTTCCCATCACGTGTGTTCTGGTTTTATGGGAAGAAGGAACTGCTGTGGGAAAGCAGAGCCAGTGCTCTCCGCGCCCTGCCCTCGCTTGGGTGGCTACAGCCCAGGCCAGGAGAACAGCAGCTGGCATGGGCCTGAGGCCCCATGGTGCCCATAAGGGATCAGCGTTGAGGGGGTGGGGCAAGTCTCCCTAGCCCCTTCACCTTTTAAAATGTGAGTGGTTTTAAAAGGAAAAAGCAAAACCAACCAACAGCAACAATACTCTTTTTAAACTAGTGACAAGACTGTTGTCAGTTTTTTTCAGACACTTAACCCCATTCCTTTTGGCTCAGCAGCGTTTTGGGCCATACCTCCCCCAAGCAGCTCCTCCCTGAATGTATCCCTGCAGAATGCAGCCTCTTCCCTTGCTCCCTTCCCCCACAGTGACCCCGCTCCCTGAGCCCTTCCTGTGGAACCCAGAGCCCTGTCAGCCCTGAGGGGCTGAGGTCTGTGGCCTGGCTGGCTGGCCAGCGTGGTGCTCCTCAGGACTGTGGCACTGAGATATAACCTGGCCTCCGTGCAGGAACAGGGGCCACAGCAGGCAGGAAACCCACCACTCTCCACATAGGAACAGTAACCAGTGAGGTCCCATTGCGTGAGGTGTTAGAACCACCCTGTCAGACTAGCAGACCTGGCCATGTCCTTCAGGCTCAGCGTGTCCCCTAGACTGTGACTTGGGGCAGCACTTGCCGCATGCTCCTCTCCTCTTCTTGAATGTACTCTGGTGTTGCCATGTGCTACTGGCTCTTTCTTGCCCAGCCATCACTGGCTATCCCATTTGCCACACATGGCTCTGGGTCTGGCTGAATGCTCTGCCCCAAGATCTGGGGCACAAAGTGGGAGAAACTTGAGAGACCTTCAGTGTGGATCGAGATGGCCAAGCTTCTTTGGAATCAGTGTCCAGTGCTGAACTAAAAAGTAGATTGGATCCCAGTTTCCTTTCAGGCAATAGACAGAGCAAGACTGGAGAATGGAGACCACTCTGGAATTGTGGCTAGAAAGGGACTGTCTTGTCCCTCATCCTTCTTCAGCTAGTCTGCCTGGGATGTCTGGACAGATGGCCTGTGTGGGAGGTGAAGACCATGTCTGTGCCTGAGTGAGCGGCTCCTTGGAGTTCACTGTGATACCAAAGTGTGTCCCAGGGTGACTCTCACACTATTCCAGACTCTTCTATTAGGCAAGAAAGACTGCAGTATACCTGAGCACAAAGCCAAGGAGCTAAATTAAGTCTTATGTCTTTCTGTAAAATCCAAATTTGCCTTTGGCAGATCTCCAGGGTATGGCCAGCTCTCTCTGACCATGGGTATCTAAGCAGGCAGACCAAGAGACTGGGCACCAAACACGCATGCCAAAGTGAACAGTCATCTCATGAGGACCCAGACATGACCCTGTGGACTGTTCCACGTGATTCAGAACCCACTTTTTATTAGCTCCCCATACCTCTGGCCTTTCTCTTTCCCCTGCCATCCTGACACTGATAGTTTGTCACATAAATTCCCCTGGTTGTGTTTTTTTTTTTTTCTAGAAAAAAAAATTAAAAAGCAAAACAAATTACAAATAAGAATGTAAATGCCAACGGCTCCCTGTCATTTTTATGTCACAATCTCCCTGATTTGGTTTGTTCCCTTCCTTTTAGAGAAGCAAGAGAAATTAATGAAGTGTGTAATTTTAAAAGGGGGGGAGGGACTTTGCATGTGCTTATTCCACCCAAGGCATTTTCACCTCTAAGACCCTCCTAATCCTGACAACTTCCACACCAGGGTCCCAAGGCTAGGAGCAGTAGATGCCTCCAGCCCAAGTCCCTGACTTCAAACCCTGAGCTCTTCTCTGCGGCTGCTGGTTAGTTGTGGAAGAGAAAGCTGCTTCTGAACTCCAGCCATTGTATGAGAAGAAATAGACTTCTTCAGAGCTAGGACCTGTAGAAGGAGCTATACTTTCTTTGAAACCCCAGAGAATGATTACTTACTCACAGGGAGAGGAATGTGAGTGGAGACTGTAAATTATAGAAGAGCTCTTGAGCACCCATGCCTCACATGGTCACCTACTTTCCCTTTACTCAGCCGACACACTGGGCCCCAGATAGCACAATAAAAGAGCTTAGGGCTCCCTTTGAGGAGCAGCCCATTCAGGTGTTCTTTTTCTCTTTGGAAGAGTATACATCTTTCTTGAGAGCTAGGAATGTGTTCTTTCATTTCATTTCAGACATTTACGAATGGCGCCTTGAGTTGTACATAAGGTACCATTAGGCACCACGAGAAGAAACGTGATGACCAGCGGCCCTGTCTCCAAGGATTTTATATTCTTAGTTCAGGAGATGGACTTGTTCACAAAAAGGCAGTAAGTGGTCTAATGAACAGTCGGGGAATGTGCGGTGCCCAGAGGGGAGGTTGGTTGTGACCTGAGTGATTATGAAAGGCTTCATGGAGGAGGAAGCATTGAGCCAGGCTTATTGTGAGAGTTTGGAGGTAGGGTGTGGAGAACTCACCCTGAAGGAATAGCTACAGCAGCACAACTGGAGGCCAGAATGTCGTGAGAGAAGAGGTTAGAAAGGTGAAAGGGGCCCATTTAAGGCACTACTAGCAGTGGGGAATCCCGGATGGGGTTTTGAGAAGAGAAAGGGACCCAGGATTAAAGACTGCTGACAGTGTGAAGGAGGCTCAGCCTCACGCTAAGTGGAAGAGTCTGCGGGTATGGGAAACGGGAAGTGGTGTGGAGGCCTGGAAGCTGGCAGAAGGGGAAGAAGAAAGCAGTCCCTTTTGGCCCCACCGGGCCTGATGTCTCATGACATCAGGATGAGAAGATGCAGGGTGTGAAGAGCAGCAAGGAGAGAATGCTGGGGAACAGAGGAAGAGGTGGTTGGTTATTTTCTTAAAATAACTAGAGAATCTTCAGCTGACCTCTTACCCACAGATGTCCACTCCATCAACCACTAAATTCACAGGTCTCAAGGTTCCGTGGGGAGACTAAGAACTAATAAACATTTTGGTCCTTGGTTTCAAAAACCCTACAATCTTCTCCCCTGCATTTTTTTTTTATGGGAGTGGCATTTTAATGGGCGATGGGAGGCGCACGGAAGGGAGTGAATGTCTCCTCTTTGAATGGTGTACCTAAAGTAAAGGCACTTTGTTAGGAACATACTTGGAGAATTAAGATAGCAGTTCCTCACTTTGGGGAAAATGTTTGGCTTTGCTGCTGTGGCCAGGGGGAGGAGGCAGGTTCCTTGTGAGAGATTTCAGTGGTCTCAAAGCTGAAGGATTTATGTTGGCCTGTTCTGCCCACTCAGCTAAGTGGGAAAACACACAGTGGATGGTGAGGGGCTTTGTAAGATGAGTTCAAGAGATAGAAGCCCCTCACCCGGGATCCTGGGTGGCTCAGCAGTTTAGCGCCTGCCTTTGGCCCAGGGCATGATCCTGGAGACCTGGGATCAAGTCCCACATCGGGCTCCCTGCATGGAGCCTGCTTCTCCCTCTGCCTGTGTCTCTGCCTCTCTTTCTCTCTCTCTCTCATGAATAAATAATAAAAAATCTTAAAAAAAAAAAAAAAGCCCCTCATCCAAACCATATGTCTAGGTTTGGTAATGATAAACCTTCAAAGAGACATCTGTGGTTCCATCTTTTTTAAGGGGTTGCATGGCTCTGAGAATGGGGCTGAAGGCACAGGGCCTACAGGCAGCCCTGTTTGGAAGCTTCCTGTTCTTTTTTGTCTCTATAGCAAAAATGGCAGCTATCCCTGTAAAGGATCTTCCCTTCATGGTGAGGTCTGACTAGACACTAGCTCAGCCCTCCATGTTGGTTTTACCAACCTCTTGGGGTTCTCCCACCTGGATTTCTAGTGCCATCATTATTGGCAGGGAGTTTCCTTCTAAAATAACCTTGGGGTGGTGAGTGGTTTTGTTTTAAAAAAGGGGAAGGCTGTCCCTGATTGATTCTTTCCCACCTGTTTGCTGCATTGTGCTCTAGTAGAGTGGTGAGAGAAATTTGTGCATATGTTCACTTGAACCCACTATTATGTAGACAGGCTTTGTCTTGTTTTTTACATTATAAATTTATTAGGGCCGGGGGTCATATTTTTTTATGCAGTGTTCACTCACCAAATACAATGAACACAATGTGCTTTTGAAGGATGCAAATTTATTAACATATACAATCCTTGCCCTTGAGGGCCTTCCAGTCCAGCTGTCAGGAAAGAGGAGATCTTTAAGGCAGAGACCTGACAAGGGTACTTGATGCCCCTTGAGACTATAATGGTCTAGGAAGGCTTCATGAAGGGGAAGAGACTTAAAGAATGAGTAGGCTGTCATGAGAGAATAATGAGAGTGTGAAAGCAAGAAAGAAAGAGACAGGCTTTGGGGAACAACAAGTTAGTGTTTTGAGCAGTGGCGATAACCCACTGGAGGGGAGTGGATAAGGTGGATGGACCCAGCCCCTGAGGTCTCACAATGCAAAGGTATTGTCAGAATACTTAAAGCTGTAGGATACAGAGCTCTTAATGCAGAACTATCTTAAGTAGAATTTATTGTTTCCCATAACTAAAAAGGTTACTTGGCCGGATCCAGGTGCTCAGATGATGATGTCAAGACATCATCTGTGTGTGTGTGTGCATGTTGTTCTGCTCATGAGCTCAGGCAGTCTCTCTCCAAAGGTAGTGAAGATGGCCAACAGCAACCCTAGGCTCACATTAATCTCTTGTTTAAGGACTGGGATGTCTCTTTTATCCAAAGGATTTTGCTCTGGTTCTGGAAGAGTTTGACCTGAAGTGTTTTTGGCCTGGTGGTTTCATATAGAATCCTATCCTTGATGACAAAAACAGATGCTTTCATGAATTATTCTAGGTTGTGAATAAGGGGAAGCTGCCTGCTAGGAAAAGATTGCAAATGTGGATGAGTATAAGGATGAATGTTGTTAACACTTTCCACTCTGAATAACAGATGAACAGAGCTTTGGGTTATAGGCAATTACTGCTACCTCTTGGCTTGACAGTTGGCATCCAGAGTTTGCAACAGACTCAGACAACTTACTTTTCAAGTACTTGGGGAAAAGGGGCCAAGGCATGGGCATCAAAGCCTAAGTAACTCATGGTGGGCCCATTTAACTCTCTGGGGAATACCTATCCTCAGGTGTAATGCCTGAGAAATGATTTTTACATATGTTGCTAAGTCAGTATATGGGTGCTTCCTAATTTCATCAGATCCCCAAATTGGGAGATGATGTCCAGTGTAGGACCTAGAGCCTGTGTA